TGGGGGGCGCGACCTACCTCCTGCCGCAGGTGACGTCATCCCTGTGACGTCAGCCTCCGGCCAGACCCCGGGCTGGGAGGCAGATTCAGGCCTGGGCCGGGACCTCCCAACCCTGTCCTGTACCGGGCCTACCAGACGGCTCCAGGGGCGGGGGCCTCGGGAGGTGGGGCCGGGTGCCCCTCGGGACAGGGGCCTCACAGTTGGGACCTAGGGCCAGCCTCACCGCCTGACCTTATTCCCCAGCCGACCGCTGTAAGGAGGTGCAGCAGATCCGCGACCAGCACCCCAGCAAGATCCCGGTGAGTCCCGCGGCCTCCCTGCCGTTCCCACCGGGCCCCAGGCCCCGCCCTGGGCTCACGCGGCCCCGCCCCACCCTGTTCCCAGGTGATCATCGAGCGCTACAAGGGTGAGAAGCAGCTGCCGGTCCTAGACAAGACCAAGTTCCTGGTCCCGGACCATGTCAACATGAGCGAGTTGGTCAAGATAATCCGGTGCGTGGGCAGCAGCCTTCAGAGGGGCACTTGGGTCCTGCTGGGGTTGGGCAGAGGGCCAGGTCCTTCTGAGAAGGGGTGGGGGTAGGGCATAAGATGGGGCATTGGGTCCCTATTCTGGGGAGGTTGGGAAAGTTCAAGGTCAGAGCTGTGGCCAGGTCAAAGGTGAGACTCTAGAAGGCTGGGATGAGTGTGAAGGGAAGGCAGGGTGTCGCTACACCCCGCGGCAGCCAGGCCCTCCTGTCCACCTCAGGCGCCGCCTGCAGCTGAACCCCACGCAGGCCTTCTTCCTGCTGGTGAACCAGCACAGCATGGTGAGCGTGTCCACGCCCATCGCGGACATCTATGAGCAGGAGAAAGATGACGATGGCTTCCTCTACATGGTCTACGCCTCCCAGGAAACCTTCGGCTTCTGAGCCAGCAGTAGGGGGAGGGGCTGGTAGGGGAGAGGGGGGCCATGTCAGGCTCTGCCCAGGGAGCTCTTGGCTCCTGAACTGAGCTGCCCCTGGGGGGCCGGGCAGGGATGCTACCCCCTTAGGGGGCACCAATCACTGCGACTCTGCCCTGTGTGGATACTGGGCCTGTCATGTTAGGGTTGCCCCTCTGGGTGCTGGCTGGATGGGGGATGGTGGGGAGCAGCCCCAGCACCCCTGCTCTGTCTGGTTTGTCTTTTTTATTTTAGGCCCCTGCCTGTCTGCCCCCCACCCCCACCCGAGGCTCTGCTTCCTGCCTGGAACCACCCACCCCTGAAGGACTGGCCCCTGGCTCACCTGGTCTTGACATGGTGTATGGATCTGTGGTCATTGTCCCTCTGCAGAATAAAGATTGCTCAGGCCTGCCTGGCCCTTTGCCTCCAGCTGCTTGGGGAGTAGGGAGGGCTGCTGGTGAGACTGTCCCCCACCATTCTCTGCTTACCAGTGCACAGACTTGTGTTCTGAGGACTTGGGGTTCATTCTGGAAACCCACACCCTTTTGTAGTGTACCATGGCAGTATTAGGGGCCCACACCTTCCAGGAGTGAGTGTGGGCCCAGGGTAGACTTCTTCGTACCAAAAAAAATTTATTAAGTCAACAACCTAACAAACCCTGCTCACCTGCTTCTTCCCCTTTCCTGCCAGGAGGGGGCTCCTTTGTGTGCAGAGCCAAAAACTGTGGGTCCAAGTGGAGGTGCTTGTGGCAATGCCCCACAGGCCTTGCTGCCAGCCTTGGCTCTCCTCTGGTGCAAGATCGTGACCCTGGACTTGAACCTCATCTGTGTGAGGACTTGCCTGCTGGCAATTCTGGCTAGAGGGCTCGGTCAAGCTTCTGGCCTGTCCACCCCCTTAAGTCCGTGCAGCCCAGTGCCCAGCCAGGCCTACTTGAGCACAAGCATGGCCTCCGTGCCGTCCTTGGCCGTCAAGTAGAGACCATGAGTGAGGTAGTACTCCCGCCGCAGGAAGGCATAGAAGTAATCTGAGATCAGCAGGATCTGCAGGGGATGGGGGGAAAAGAGAGAGTGAGAAGTTTAAAGGTACCTCTCCCTGAACCTTGGGGCCCTGAGGAGCTAGGCAGGTGTTGGGGAGACCCTACCACCTCAGAACCTATACTTGACCCTGGAAGGTCTCACTGGCACCTTAGAAGTGCCCATATGACCCTCCCTCCCTCTACCATTGTCTGCACCTCATCCAGCCCTGGCCTCTGAACTCGACTGGTACTTCTATACCAGAAGACCCTCCACCTCACCTTTTGGGTGCCCACAGGCTTCTTGGGTGCACCTCAGCCAGGCTCCCTATCAAACTAGCTTCTCCCACTGGGAACCCAGGCCCCACATCTTCCATCCAGGTACTTACGCCACAGCATCACCTCATACTTCTCCCATATGCACAGCCATTAAGTACTGTCAGTTCTACCTCCTAAGCTCTCAAATCCACCCATTTCTACCCATCTTAACATCTACCACCCTGGACAAAGCCACTGTTATCTCAATAGCAGTCTCCTGTCTGGGCTCCCTAACTCAAATCTCCCCCTCTCCCTGGTCCATTATCCCTAGCGGCCAGAGGTTGCTTTTCAAGACAAATCTGGTCATGTTAAAATCCCCTGAAGGCACCTTATGGCTAGTAGGGTGAAGATCAAGCTCCCTGGGGCTCCGAGGCCTTGCACCTGGTCCCTCTCCTCTGTTCAGCCTCACTCTGCTCCAGCCTCTTCCCTCCCACTGCAGGATCTTGCTGTTTCTTCTGCCTGGAATGCTCTCTCCCCTTTCATCTAGTCAACATCTGCTTGCCCTTCAGGCCTCAGGAAGACTCTTCCTCAGAGAAGCCACCGATATGCCCCAGATTGGGTCTTGGCCCCATTAACCTCATCCAAATTGCAGTTTTACATTCGCCTCTGACTGCCTGATGACTGCTCCTTCCTCCCTGCACTGGTCAGGGTCCCTGAGTAGTTCAGCCACCATGATATATGTGCCCAGCTCAGTCTGTCTTTCCCGTATGGACCACAGAATCAAAAGAGCCCTAGAAGCGCAGCCCACCATCATCCTCAGAGGCCCAGAGAACAGGGATTTGCCAAGGTCCCCCATATGCTGGACTTACAGTCTTACAATCCATTTGTCCCAAGCTCCCAAGACCTCCAGTGCCTGGAGCAGGAGGGGCAGGGCCCAGCCCCACTGAGGATGGAGAGAGGGGCTCACCAGTGCAGACACCACCAACTCTCAGGCACTGAGAGGCCTCTCAGACCATCAACATCAACCACCTCTTGGCACAGATGGGGAGACGAAAGCCCAGAGCAGGGGGAGCACTGGCTAAGGTCTTGGAGCAGGTCAGAGGTTGAGCTGACCCTGAGACTCCAGTCCTGGGCAGCTTCTCTCACACTGTGGGCAGGAAGGAGGGCACAGAGTGGCCTGGAGGAGGAGCTCAGGGTTAACCCAGTGAAGCCTTCAGGACAAGGACACCACTAGAGGCTGTCTGGAAGGGTGATGGAAATTAAGGCACAAAGGGTTCAATAGTTGGTCTAAAACTATACAGAGGCCCAGTCCACCAGAGGGCACAGAACTCAGCTGCTGTGGGTATCAGCAGAGCAGACAGAGCCTTTCCCCACAGCTGCCCTATGGGAGCAGGTATCACAGCAAACGCTGACCTCACACCCTGCAGCCCCTTTCTCACCCAGGCCCAAGGTGCCTGGTCTGGGAAGTTGGGGAAGCCTATAGCTATAGTTGAGCTGATGGGTCTGATCCCCAAGCCAGATCAGATGAGGGGCAAGTGCAAAGTCACAATTCAAAAAGAAAATGAGCCAACTCCAATGTTGCACACAATCAGCTGGACAAGTAGTAGGAAGTCAAAATATTAGGTATTAGGTTGAACCATATGAAATTGCCATTTTTTGCAGATCAGAAACAGTTGAATCTTGTCAATTTCATATAGTTCAGTGAAAGATAAAAGAACCAAGAAACAGAGTAAGCATGTTATCCAGAAATGCCAGGAAAAGCAACTGTAAGACCTGAGGGAGTTATTCTTTTTCCTTATAAGCCTTAACTTTGTAAATTATATGCATGTATTATGTTGATAAAAATAAAAATCCAATTAATAACAGCGAATACATGATCAAATAGTAAACAAATGGGGGAAATTCCTTTTGCTATCTTTGCAGAAGAATCACAAATAATACATGTAGACAGTCCCCTTCCAGGAAGTGGAGCTTAATTCTTGCCCCCTCCCCACCCCTGCCCCTGAGGATGGGCTAGCCTAGGTGACTCACTCCCAAAGATCACAGCAGGGACAGGGAAATAGCACCTTTCCCCTGGAGGAGCCTGGGAACAGTCATAACCAGATGATGAAGGGTAACAGCATGAAATCGAGCCTGGTTCCAGAAACTCCACCTGGTCTCAAGATGAGAAAAGTGTCAGACAAACCCAAAGTGGGGACACTCAACAGGCCACCTGGCCAGTGCTCCTCAAGACTATCCAGGTCATGAGGAAAGCGGGCAGAGGACACAGGGGAGACCTGACAACTAAGGGTAATGTGTGCCTCTGATTGGATCATGAGAGGCCATGGCAGGGAAAACTGGGAAATCCACATCAGGTCTGGAGTTTACTTAATAAGGAACCAGGGTCAGTTTCATGGTTTTGACAAATGTGTGGTGGTAACATAAAATGTTAACCACGAGGGAAAGTGGGTGTGGGCATATGAGAACCCTGTACAATCTAAAATTATTCCAAAATTTAAAGTTTACTTAAAAAAACAACGCACTATCATTATGTGCAACAAGGTAGGTGAGCCACAAAAACATTTTGCTGAGTCAAAGGCAGCTTTGGAAAATGTACATGTAAGATTTGTGTTTTTCACTGTATGTAGATTTCACATATGAAAAATGTCAATAGTTATTGAGCTTTGGCTAATCATATACATGCTGAAATATGTAGCAGGAAATGTACTGATAACCTGCATTTCACTTTGAAATACATCAAATAAAAGAGAGATTGAGGGATGGATAATTAGCAATCACACTAGTAGAGTAAAATGTTAATGTCAGAGTCCAGTGGTTGGTATATGGGTGTTCAATATTCAATCTTCCAACTTTGCTGTGTGGATATCTGCATGATGAAGTGTCAGGGGAGGGCACGTGGAGAAAAAGAGCCCTGTACTGGCTTAGTCTGTCTGGAACAGAAGGTCACTAGTCTTGAGTGGGTGCCCTGCTCCTGCCCCCAGGGACAGGGCATCTTGAGGACACCAGGCTGGCACAGAGGCTTGGCTCTTTCAGAGGGAAGCCCCTGGCTGGTTGCAGGCTGGCTGAGACAACCTCTTCTGACCTTGAAGCTTTCCCTTTGGGCTGAGGAGAAGGGATTTCCAAGAGGCCCTGGGATTCAGCCAACACAGCAGCTGCAGACCCAGAGCCCCTTTGCCCAGTCTGGACAGGGAAGTTAGGCAAGGGGCAGTGGATATTCCATGGGTGAGTTAGTGGCTGTGTGACCCTGTGCAAGTCACTCCCCCTTCCCTAAGCTGCCTCTTCCTCATCTGTAAAATAAGTGATTAACTAGTTTATTCCCCACTTTGGTGGCTCCCCTTCGCCTTGCTTTGTCCCTCTGTGCTTTCAGAGACCTGAAGAGCAGCTGTTCTTTAGAGCTGCCCTCATTGACTGTGGCTGAGCCTCTCTCCTGCCATCAACCACCAAGTCCTGCCAATTCCCTTCCTCAAACTTCTGACTCAGCCCTCTTTCTCTCCCCCAATGCCTCCTTCACTCTCCTGGCCCCTGGGGGATCTTTCACACACACACACGCACGCACGCACGCACGCACGCACACACATACAAGCACCCTTCCCTTGCCTGCTCAGAGGCCAAAGGCTCTACTTACCCCTCGAGAGGCATCATTTCCATCTCCTGCCCTCAGAGTATTCTCTTACCCACACTTAGTCATGTGACTGACCCCTGAAGTGAAGTCATTTCCTGTTGGCCTCCCCACCAAATGGGACGGTATCTGCTCCAGCCCTGTGGGCCCAGATCTGGCACAGGGCTGACACTCTGGGAATAATTTGCCAGTCCCCATCCCCTTGGCACTGCCCCAGTGAGGGCTCCAGGACTCGCCTTTAGGCCACGATGAAGCTTTAAGGGGGCAGCTGCTAAACAGGTGGTCAGGGACAGAGGGGTAGATCAGAAGTAGAATGAAACGGTCAGAACATGCTCGGTTACAGGGTAGAAGAGAGGAGAGACAGGGAAACCAACTCATTCTGGGTTGAGTATCTGCCCTTTTTAAGAAGCATATCACTGAATCTTCATAACACTCTGGGGTAGGGCTTATGGGCCCCACTTAGAGATGAGCAAACTCAGAGGTTAAGGGTCTTACCTGGGGTCACATGGGAATAAGTGAAGTGTATAG